CACACACACACACACACACACACACACACACACACACACACACACACACACACGCACGCACACGCGTGTGCACGTGTAGTAGTGTATATTTCAACGTTCTAGCGGAAGATCAAGCGATCAATCAATCAATGAAACCTCGACTGATTGATTGATTGGGACTCCTCCACGGCTTTCCCATGGCTTGACCTCCCCGACGACACCCCAACCCTGGCCGACCCTCGGCAGACTTTCCCCAATACTTCTCCTCCGCATATAGACTCCTCCAAATCAATCTATCAATCAATCAATCAATCAATCAATCAATCAAGATCGACCTTAGTCATTCTTCATTAATTTATTCATTAATTAATTGATTGATTGATTGATTGGATAACGGCAATGGACAAATAGAAAAGGAAAGCGAAATAGAAAGCAAAAAAAAAAAAGACAAAAAAAAAGTCGTTCCTCTTCCTCCAACGACCTTCTCCCTCTTCCTCCCTCCCTTCAACTTGCCTGTCCCCTCATCCCCCCCTCCTCCAACGACCTTCTCCCTCTTCCTCCCTCCCTTCAACTTGCCTGTCCCCTCATCCCCCCCTCCCACTCCTCCCTCCTCCCTCCCTCCCTCCCTCCCTCCCTTCCTCCCTCCCTCCTCCATCCGCTTACCTCCCTCCGGGTGCCTCTCCTCAGTGCACCTCCATTGCCCTCTGCCTCTTCCCCGACCACTCTTGTCCCCTGTCCCGAACCTCCTTTACCCTCGCCCCACCCTCCCCAACCCATGCCAGACCATCCCCGATACTTCTCCTCCTCCTCTGGGTCTAGTCTCCTCCTCCATCAATCAATCAATCAGTCAATCAATCATCGAGATCGATTCATTGATCGATTGATGATTGATGATTGATGATTGATCGATTAACTGTAACGAACTCAAAAAGAAAAGGAGAACCGAAGACAAAACTAAGAAGGAAACGACGCAAAAACTAAAAAAAAAAAAGAAAAAAAAAGTGAGACACAAAACGAAGAAGAAAATGAGACAGGAATGCAAAAAAAAAAAAAAAGATTTTTTTAGCCACCTCCTCCCTCCACCTCCCTCTCTTCCACTTTTATTTCCCCTCATCCTCCTCGCCTTTATCCTCCTCTCCTCTCCGGCTTTCTCGCCCGCCTCCTCATCCTTCTCCTCCTTCCCCTCGACTGCTTTCTCCTCCTCCCCCTCCTCTTCGGCGTTCTCATACGCCTCCCCCTCTTCTTCTTCTTCTTCTTCTTCTTCTTCTTGTTGCTCATCCCATTCTCCTCCCGCTCCTCCCTCCTCCCTCGTCCCTCTTCCTTCTCCCCCTTCCGCGTACATCCCCTTTGACCAACCCCCCTCCACACGCCTCCCTTCCGCCCACCTCCACAGTCGCAGGGTTGGAGACTTCTGTTGGCCG